AAACTGGCCAACTTTCTTAATTTCGGTTTTTCGATTGTTGTTCGTAAATAATATTTTATAGCTCTGACGATGTCCGTCACATGACGGACGAACGCTCAGCACGGAGTCATTGGAGTCGTATGACGGTGAGCTGAGTTCTTCGCATAATTCAACAGACAAAAGTCCAAATCAGTCCTCCTTCGATATCCGGGAGCCAATCTACGACCCCTTCACTCCAGCCCTCTCAAACGAAATGAAATATATGCCAATATCAGTTATTAGTAGGTAATTTCACAAATCCAATATATATTTGATTATGTCATGGTCTATGATAAATCAAAAGAATGATAAAACCAAGACGTGTCACCTACTTTCCAAACCAGCCTTGCTAAGACCTAATTTTGATATGATGTATTTAGGTACGTCAGTAACTACGACTCCTGAGGCAGCAAAAAGACCAGGGCCAGCCCCGTCTGATTCGATGATGCGAAAGTAAGATTTCTGCTTTGTTGCAACTGAAGTTTGTGGTGGTGGGGAGGCCGAGTCATTACCAGATAGTCGTAAACATGTAGGGGGCTGACCAGCACGCTTTTTAACCTGATCCTCAGCCACCTCAAGCATCTGGTAGAATTCAGAAGGATCGAACTCAAGGCATTCAAGAAGCCGGGCCGGCCGGGCAATGATGAGGAGCATGCGATGAGTATATTCAACAACGAGAGGCAGCGAAGTGGGTTCACGTGCGCGAGTCTGGTGATATCAAAAGAAGGATCAGATAAGTAATGCAAGTTTTATGAATAAATGTATATGAATTTGAGCAATAAAAGATGAACATATCAGTTTATGAATATGCTAATTCAACTTTAGGGTAATGGTTCCATTTGTAAAAAGTTGTTCATCTAATAAAAATATTAAATCTAACGATAAAATGTCGTGAACTAAAAACATCCTTAAGCATCAACAAAGTGAAAAGAAGCTTTGAGCTCCTAATAAGAAAACACGTTATGAGTGACTCGAAATCAAAAGTGAAAATCTGATATCCATTCATGTCTTAATATGAAATTGCATGCATAATTCTCGATTGACGATAGCTAGCTAGAGTTAAGTAATAACGCTTTATGGTGGATAGAGGTAGGGTAAGAAAATTGACCAGCGACATATAGTACAAATGTGTGGTCAATAGATGCGAAAAATATTCAGTGCGAAGATAGGAGAATAAATGAATAAGTGATGTTTAAAAAATGGGAAACATCAAAAATCCATTGCCGTTATTTTGATTGCAGTCTCCTTCAGAGACAGTTGACTGGAGTGAAGGTGGGATATCGGAGAAAATATTTTCGGAAACAATTGGTATGATACTAGAATACCTTTCATTTCGTTTGAGAAGGCGAGTGGAAGGGATTCGTAGATTGGCATCCTCATATGACGAGGAGGGTTGCCTCCGACTTTTGTCTAATTGAATTGTGCGAAGACCTCGACTCACCGGAATACGACACTGATGACTTCGTGCTGAGCTTTCGTCCGTCAAGTGACGGACATCGCCTAGCCAGAAACCACTATTCACGAATAATCACCAAAAAATCCAAACCAAGAAGGGTGGCCAGTTAAAACCCTACTTACTTCTTATACGTCACTTTGCGATCTTAATGAAGCATTTCATGATTTGGTTGGCTGCTTTAGGCTTGTCCTACATGCATATAAGCAGTTCAAAGTGATGCAGGAAGGGGAGCGGATGTAGTAACAACTTCTGTCTATGTAAATAAATTAGAGTATGATTCTTTAATCCTGGATCTTGTTAAGGCTCGTGGATGAGTGCCCATGTCTGTATGCAACAACCAAAAATTGGTTGTAAATTTTAGATCGAAAAACGCTCCAGCTTAGGAAAGTCTTCTCCTCTTGCTCAGTGGCTCTCGCTGTTCTCTTTCCTTTTATCTCACTTTATCACTTATTATATT